TAGCTCGTCGCTATCCTGCTTTACACTTGCCCCGGTATTGCCTTGTCTATTCCTCCGATCTTACTCTGCGTTCAAACTGGCTTCATTCAACGTTAGAACTCTAATGCATTTAGGGCAACAAGCAGGTTTGGCTTGTACGCTCGAAAGTCTGGAGATTGATGTGTGTTGCCTCTGGGAAACACGCGTCCAGGATCCGAGCTTAGTGGTCTGATTAACGTCTCCTTCCAACCCAAAAGAAGCGTTTTAACTGCGCGTCTCCGGGGACCCTGTCGCTTCAGCGTCTGGTCAAGCAGGCGTTGGTATTGCCTTAAGTGCCAGGGTCGAGGCTGATCTGTTGGAATGGCCTTGATAGCTGTCGTTCAGATAATAGGGATAGACTTCTTAGCATACGTTCAGAACACGGTCTGATCCTAGTTAGCACGAACTTCACCCAAAGCGTCACCTCGCCATTTCGTGTAGCCCCTCTTCGGCACAGATGTGGACTCAAATTGATCATAAAGCTATTAGCTATTGATGGAAAGGGTGTGTGAACGACTGCCGTTCGTATTGGTCTACCTGCTTGGACTCCAACCACGTACTGGTTCGTGCCAAGTTGTCTATGTGGCCGCGAAAAGATGCGATACAAATAGCTTGACGTCACCAAGCTCTCTGAACCGGCCGTACTAGCCGATTACCAAAACGATTTGACCGCGGGGCTAACTACTACACTCACCAAGAAGCGAAGATCAACACTGGACAACCATTCAAAATGCAATGCACTCAGCCGATTTACACAGTTGTGGCCTAACCCGCCGAGTTGTAAATCACTTTGTCTCCTCCAACTCTCTCAGACTCCTCGACACGCGTCGGGCGATCCCGGCAGACCACGAGTACAATGATTAGTGCCTCTCTCTGAAGTGTGAACTAATAAAGAATATGAGAGACGACCAAGAGGCCTGGTGGACGCTACGTGCAAAGGAGGTGGAATCAGCAGCTAGGTGTGGAAACACCCGGCAACTGTTCCAGCTCAAACGTGCTACAGGCCCTAAAAAACAGTGCGTTAGTGAAACAATCTACGAAGTAGACGGCACGCTAATAAACAGTCTTCACCGACGCTTGCAATGCTGAACAGAGCACTTGACATCGCATTTCAACCAGACCCCCCCCCACACACACACGCCGGCTGCTCCAAACAGTTCTCTTGAGTGTATTCCGATTACTATCCACGGGACCGCCCATAGAAGCGGAGATCCGAAAGGAACTCCAAGCCCTGAAACGCCACAAGGCAGCTGGATCAAACGACTTGCCACCTGCCCTCTTTAAAATGGTTGAGATTTTCTCGTAAGAGAACTTGTGAGACTGTTCTGGAAGATCTGGGAAACTGAAAGTGTACCCTACACATGGGGAGAATAGATTGTCACACCCATCTACAAGAAGGGCTGTTGCAACGCCTGTTCCAACCGCAGGGGCATAAGTCTGATTCCAATAGCGCCGAAGCTGCTACCGTTTGTTTTATTACGCAGGTTATGCCCATTCCGCGAGAAGCAAATCCGCGAGGAGCAGGCCGGGTTTCGTGCACGCCGTAGCTGCATAGATCAAATCTTCACCCTCCGTCAGCTACTAGAACACCGCCACGCATACAGACGGAAAACCATTGTCGTGTCTTTGGACATCAGAGCGGCTTTTGACTCTTTGAATTCCCCATGCACTGTGGAACTGTTTGCGGAGATACGGAGTATCCGAGAAGCATGTTTTACTCCTAAAAGCGCTTTATCAACAGATCCCGGAGAAGGTTAGGGCCTATGGTGAACTTCCATCTTAATTTTCTGTCAGCAGTGCGATGCGACAGGGTTTTTTATTACACACTTTCGTGTGATAAACAGCAGACGGGGTAAACCCCATAATCCCGAGGGCCTGATGTTCAGTGATGGAAACCGGTAAATTAAGCTCCAGAACTTGGAGTGGTGAACCATATGGGGCCCCGATAGGTTAGGCGTGGTACTGAACCGGACGGTAGCAAAGCTGCCTACCACCGAAGTTGGGTGGCGGTGGTGGGTTGCCGTATTTCTCCGTTTCTATTCAACATTACCATGGATGATGTTCTACAAAACGCGTTACATAAAGTAACGAACGCTGGCGTCGAGCTTCATCTTGGAGACAGGGTCGTAGACTTGGAGTATGCCGATGATATCGGCTTACTCGGTAACTACGCACCAACGATTCAGGAGCCGTTAAACCGTTTGCTAATTGAGGTTATTCGCTATGGTATGTCCTTTGAACCTTCAAAGTGCAAAGTGTTGTTGCACTTTCATTGGATAATGATACTCTGGAATTAGGCGAAAGCTTTGTCTACCTTGGGAGTTGCATAACAGCTGCCGGAGATGTGGGCGAGGAGATCTCTCAACATGTGATCAAAGCTCGATTAGCGTTTGCTAATCTGTGGCGTCGGCGTGACATATCCCTTTCACTGAAAAGGCGTGTGTGCAATCCCAATCCCCGCTTCTATACCCATGCTTTTTATTAACCCNTATATATATATATATATATATATATATATATATATATATATATATATATATATATATATATATTAGTCCAGCCATTCACATACTACTTATTAAGAAATATATAATTAATTGTACCAAAATCAAACATGCGCTTTTTTGGTTGAAAGCTTTGGTATAACTCGCTAAAGCGTCAACACAAAACACCAGTGATTGCGGGTTTCAGAAGCAGTTTCCTGTCAGCTTTTAAGTAATGAGCTTCGGCCGTATCAAGCAAACGTGAGCGTAGTTGAAGTAGAGTCACAGAACATACCATAATAAGATGGCGACTGTGTTGTCGGTTGTTTGAGCACTACTAGATCATCTTCGAGGCAGATGAAGTTCGTGTACTGATCGAACACCTTCGTGATACGTTGAACACAGTCCTCGGACAGAGCAGTTTGTGCGATCGATTCAAGTAGTTCACGTGATATTGGGCTGATGAAGTTCAAGTAATAAGACTCGTAACGATCTGCTTCGAAATCCTACAAAAGAACATACAGAACATGAAGGGGTGATGATAATGATGATAAGAGGTGAAGTTGAGAATGACACAACCAACCTTGCATATCCTCAATATGTTATCTTTCGATGGATACACGAAATAAATGGCCGGTACATCGGGGATATTTTCACGTGCCGAATCCAACAGGCTGTCTGGGCGTTAGGTGGCAAAAAGCACAAATCCAAACTTACAGATGTAGGGTTACCCCGAGTGCACGGAGCTCTTTCACTGTTAGTAGAGGGGATATGATATCTCGACCAAACTGATCGTAGATTAGCACCTATCACAATAAAGAACTCGTCAAACTCGTAATAAAACCTACCTTCCATTGGGGAACATCAGTGGTGGACGGCGGACAGTTGAAATTGAGCATACATTTTATGGATTCTGTAAGGGCAATAACAGTATTAGCAAGCATGGATGACATGGACGAAAAAGAATCCAACCGAGTTGGGTATCAAGGCTCAAGTCAAGTTAAAAGCTCTGATTTTTCTAAATAGAAAACCCTAAAAATTGAATCCCATGATAGTGATAGTTTAACTATACGTAAGAGTCAGTCTGATGGTAATGATATTATGTTCAGAAAAACGATCTATTGCTTAAAAACACGACCATTTGGTGCTTCTTTACAGGGAAATTAAAGAAGTCGGCGATTTGACCTCTATCTCAATGTTGAAAATTTAAGCCAAGCTTTTACATTAAAGATATTCATACTACCTTTATTAGGATTATTATACTCGGAGTATGATTGAGTCCTAAATGGGCAAAACAAATCACGGTACAAAATTCGTTATACCTGATAAACTAGTAAATCATTCCACTGTGGGCCGAATACTGCCGGATTACCCGGGGCAAAATTAAATTTCGGTCAGCTAAAGCTTAAACCGCAAGGTAACAGAGCGGTGTTTGAAAACAGATCTATTGAAGTAGTTTCCTCGAATTTGGAGCCGCAACTGCAACTGTGAAGTAGACGACAGCTGGAAATGAGCAAAACGTTTACTAACCAGCGAAACTAACTAATCCCAATTTGATGGGTCAACGAACTCTCCATCGAACTCTTACCAAATACAAGACGACTTATCACAGAGTTGCTTACATGTATGCTCCATCAGACCAGCGCCAAACTACGTAAGCGTCGGCAGTGGAAGTCTTCTAGACGAATATTTTCCAAACGCAAATTAAGGATCTCGCAACCAAAAAGCAGAACTGACCGCACACTCACGCGGTATACACGACCTTTCAGTTTCAACGAAATATCGCGTCAACACTACAAGTGTTTTAGTCCTGTGTGAGCTGCTCGAGCCAAGGAAATGCGGGGGTTACCCAAGTAGAAACATCTTACTATAGCTAGGTCTTGACGACCAAGCATGACAGCGAGGGAAGATGATTTCGAATCTTGTAGCATCGCTTTGAATTTTGAAGGTGCAACGCTCATACCTAATGGAGTTACAGTTTCAGACCCTGTGAAGAGCGTTTTGCGCACCTTCTATACATTCGAAAAGACAAACGATGTCGTCAGCGTATTCTAAATCGCACAACTACCCTCCGGCTGCCCACTCAATACCAACATTTTGGATACCACAAAGTCTACGGCAAAAATGAACAGTAAACAGGAAATAGGGCACACTTGATAAAGACCACTCCTCCTCATCTTACAGCGAAATACAGTGAGGCGAACTTCACTGATCGCTGAAGAACTCGCAATGCATACAAGGTTAGTGGTGATATTTAAGGTGGACAGGGATTGGACCTATTTTGATGGAGGGAGAAGAAGACGAACTTCTATGGTTAGCACATAGAAGGCACAATCAAAATCTGCATACATACCGTTTAAAACATTCTGGCTTAATGAGAACAGCAACGCCACTTCTGTCGGTTCGCTGTCATATCCTTCAATGTCTCCAACCAACCGGTTTCGGAGTCTTTCGGACTCCAACCTGGAAGGCGCGAGACACCTACTCTAAATAATGGCTCTGTACATCTCTTCATGCCTTGTCTCCGCGTCAACTGTTGACCTCCATATGGTTTCCTCTAGCCCGGAGAGGCTACAGCGAATAAAGCACGATGCGGCAGACTACAGCTGGGTGTAGGCAAGGCCTACTCTGGACCGGACGACCGAGTAGTACAACAGCCCACAACGCCAGCAACTATGGTTGTGGCGTTTGCACCCTCAAGCCGGTGTTATATATATATATATATATATATACGCAATAATCTAAAACTCCTAGCCGATGGATAGCGTGCACAAACTGCTGAGACAGACAGTCGATGATCAGCTAACCCAGTTTGTTGGTTTTAACGCAGGCCAGTTAGTCAGAAAGTGAACTGCATCAAAACTAATGACTGGTCACACTCAATGCAGGTGGTCCAATAGGACCTGAAATTTAGCACTGAGTCATGCCAACGGAAGCTCACTGCTATGTGGTCGATTTGAGTTAGCGTGCCAGTTGAACTGGAGCACCACGTTGCCGTCCGTCGACAGCTGTGTCCGAAGTTGGTACTGGATAGGAACTAGCATACTTCTGGTAGCGTGAGGGTCTACGGCGAACTGAGTAGGTCATTCGTAACTATCAGCGATGTTCGGCAAGGCTGCCCTCTTTCGCCATTCCTGTTGAATTTTGTCAGAGACGAAATACTGGAGAACACACTACGTGGTCTCCAAGATATTAGTCTTGAATGGACAGCCAGAGAAAAGCTGTGCAACTTGGAGCACGCTGACGATGTCGTTTTCTTGTTCCAATGTATGGACGATGCACAAACAACACCTGACAGATTAACAAGTTCTATCGCTCCGTTCGGCATGTGCTTTGCACCTTCAAAGTGCAAAGTGATGCTACAAGACTGGGTGTTACCGAGTTCTGTTTTGAAACTAGACGGTCAGGAATTAGCTGAAGTTGACTGCTTCTTGTACTTAGGTAGCTGCGTGATCGGCGACGGTAACGCATCAAAGGAGATAACCGCCCGCGTTTCCAAGGCTCGAGCAGCGTACGAAGGACTTAAACGCCTGTGGCGACGACGCGACGTTCCACTGAAGTTGAAAAGTCGCGTACACTGCCACTGTACTATCAGTTCTACTTTACGGTTGTGAGACCTTGAATTTGCGGGTCGAAGACACCCGTCGCCTAGTGGTTTGCGACAATTGATGCTTACGTAGCCTGGCCCAAGCGGGATGGGGTGAGCAGGTTTGTAACCTAGAAGTAAGTAGTTGGGTGTTTGGAAATGCATAAAACAAGAACTCGCTAGCGCATCGAATTCAGCTTAATAGGCTCCGTTGGTTAGGGCACGTTTGGTTTGTCCGACGGTCGCCTACCGCAGCGAGCCTTATTAATAGTAGCTGTTGCAGACTGGAGAAAGCCACGTGGAGGCCAGCAGATGACGTGGAGACGAGGAACGAAGAAATGCACAGAGCGATTGGGTAGTCGGTGTCTCGCGTCTTCCAGTTGGGGTCCAAAAGACTTCGTAACCACATGGTTGGAGACATGGAAGGTAGCAAACCGGCTGTAGTGGCGATTATACTATCACTTCTTACCAGAATGCTGAAGTAGTATGTATGCACAGTTGGACCGTATTCTGTGTACGGACGATAGAGGTGCGCTTTCTTTTCCCGACCCAATTCCCGTTCTCCTTGCACATTCTCACTTACCTTATATGCATTATGAGTTTGGCAGCGATCAGTTAAGTTCGCTTCACTGTGTTACGCTGTACAACGATGATGAAGTGAAGTAAGGCTTCATTTTCCACTGTTTTGTTTTAAGATCTTGTTCACTGACCGACTGAGCGATTTTCCCTCCCCAAACTCTAATCTACAGTCACCTGTCCATGGTCGGACAGTCTCCGGTTTACCCTCATTACTTTGATTTTTGTACTTCGGAGCTTGCCTTGGCTCAGCTTCAGTCTATAAAACCATTACCCACGCACTTTCGAGCAGCGGTTTTGGTTGCTGTTTTCTGGTCGCCTGCTTGGATGAAGCGGTAGAGGGGAGATTCTCAAGTTGAAAGCGTCGTCGAACAGAAATTGAGGACTTCTGGTAGTCTAAGGTGGTAAACTCGAGTGAAAAATAGCCGGATATAAATATGAGGAGATCGGAATATTGAAATAAACTTTCCAGGTATATGGTTCATAGATAGGAAGCGCTGGAGTTTGGAACGGCCGACTAAGTCGAAAGCCGCTTTCAGATTGAAGAAGGTAGAAATGATGAGTCTACGAAAAGAATGTCGGTGTTCTAGAATCTTACGAAGGATGAAAATATGGTCTACACGATCTCGATTAGGTCTAAAACCAGCCTATTTCTCACGTGCAGAGGACAATCAAAAGAGTATGACGCTAGCAAGAAGTTTAGAGAAAACTTTGAGCAAGCTAACTCTTCTGGGGTTAGCACAAGTGAATTTATCACCTTTCTTCTAAATCGGTAAGATGACCGAAGAAGGATAATTTGTTGGGATCCATTAGCTCTCCAAATTGTAACAAGAGTTTTATCAACTCCAGGACCAGCGTTGAATCTTCGTCTGATGGGGACAGCTCATCCAGACCGGTTTTTATACCTGTTCAGATAAATTATTTCCCTGGAAACCTCAATTTCGGATAGAGAACATGCATCAACTGGCAGTAGTTGTTCCGTCCAGGCGGGGTTTGATAAGTCTAGTGTCGATGTGGGTCAGTTGAGCTGAGCCTCAAAATGTACACCCCATTGTGCATGATGGCTTGCTTGCAACTTGTATGCCCATTTCGTACAAAGACCACTATCTATCCTTGTCCAAATTGGGTCATCAGATGTCGTACCTCTCCCGTTTTATTTTTTCTCTAATTGTCAATTTGTGGAACATTATCCCATTCTTTGCCTCTCCTCCAACTTAAAACATTTCACTATTTAAACGCCGAATGAATAAGCTTTTGTACGTGAATGTTCCACCACAGTCTTAGGTGAACAAGACTGCAAATAGTGTAAAAGCTATAAATTGATGAAAAACATATTTTGGATGGGGGCATATTGTATCAGAGGAACATTTGGAGTTTGTTGATCGAACTGAGAGTAAACAAGGTTCGAGAATAGAAAATGAAGAAAATCCCGACTCTACAAAACCCAAGCACATGCAACAAACATAGATTCGGTAATCAGAGTCATCAAACCTAAAATTTTAACTGATGGTAGACAACTTTGTTGTCGCCCGGTTCAATACTACCCCTGAGTTAGCGGAGTCTTATGTGGTTCGCCACTCCAAGTCCCGGGGCTTAGGTTGCCGGTTACCATCACTGAACAGCAGGTCTTCGTGACTATGGGGTTCCACCCCATCTGCTGTCCATCACATACCAGTGTGTAGTGGAGAAGAAAACTGGTGCGCACCACATGACGTAGTAGGAGCGTTTCAGAAGTTATGATAGATCCTAAATTGACCTATCGAACGAACGTTCCTTCTCGCTGGGCTGAAA